ACGCAGATATTGTAAAAAAAAACACACAGAGAGAGAGAGAGAGAGAGAGAGAGAGAGAGAGAGAGAGAGAGAGAAACTTCAGATACCCAGAATACAACAAAGGAGACTAACTAGGTATGGTGATACATCTCTGTGATCCCAGCACTTGGGAGTCTGAGGGAGGAGGTTTGCTACAAGTTCAAGGTCAGTGGGGGCTACATAGTGAGTTCAAATCTAGCCTGAACTACATAGAGAGACCGTATTTCAACAAAAACCAACCAAGCAAAGGGAGACTGGAGAGGCTGGGGCCCTGGCTTTGTACTCATCCTCAGAAACAGCTATGCCCCTTGCAACATGACCTCGGGCAAGCCAGGGTTCCTCTCTGGACCTCAGTTTCCTCATCTTTGTAATGGGTGTGACATGACTACAGCTCATACCAACTTCCTAATGTCCAAAGCATCAGACATCCCTTTGTTCTTCATCCATCAGTTATGCATCGAGTATCCGCTAGTGCCAGGCACGAACTAGACTCTGGGAATCCAGACTTCCAAAAGGCAGGGTCCCCACACGCACAGGTCTTGCAGGTCACACAGTGAGTTCTGAGTGCTGCCGCCAGGACAGCGAATACGAGAAGCTGTGGGAGCCCAGGTGGGGGCTGAGCCCCGAGAGTCACGGAAACAGTGACTTCTCCCCACAGCCAGGGCCGTTGGACCACATGCTAAATCGGTGAGCTGCTCTGTGAGTCAGGCGGCCCTGGCCGGGTCGGGAAAGTCCTGTCTACTGACACCTGAACGCCTGAGAGCGGCAGATGCATCCCAGGAAGCAGGGACAGCACTGGCTAAGGCTGCAGACCAGAGACCACAACAGAAAGTGTTTCCTGAGCTGAGGGTGTGGGTGTCCCGTGAAACAGGCTGCAGGCTCACCTCTGGGTGAGCCGTGTTAAGGATTTGGGCTCCATCCCAAAGCTAGGAAAACAAGTCAGTTTATCCATGTGAAAGATCAGGAACTTAGGCTGAGGCAGGAGGATCACTGCAAGTTGGAGGCCAGCTGGGGCTACACAGCAAGACCTTGTCTCAAAAAAACCCAAACAAACAAAAGATCAGAAAGCTGAGGCCAAGAGACTTGCGGCCTGCCCATACCCAGGAGGCCAGGAACGGCGCCCTGGGAGGGCCGACTGTGGGACTGACAGTCTCTCACCCCGCATCTCCCCAGCGAAGGTCTTGGTGCACTGCGTGGTGGGTGTGAGCCGCTCTGCCACACTGGTCCTGGCCTACCTCATGCTGCACCAGCGGCTGTCCCTGCGCCAGGCCGTGCTCGCCGTGCGGGAGCGGCGATGGATCTTCCCCAACCGCGGTTTCCTCCACCAGCTCCGCCAGCTGGACCAGAGACTGCGGGGTTCGAGCCAGAGCTGAAGGGCCCGGTGAGGAGCGACAGGGGGAGGCTGGATGGGGCTGGCAGTGGGAAGTCGGGGCTGGGGGGCTGGGGGGCTGGCTGGCAGGGCTGCCTGCCGTGGGAGGCCAAGAGGAGGACCTGTCCCCCGTGGGAGTGGCACGTTCACAGCTTGTTCTAGATGGGATCCAGGAACGTGGTGGAGCAGCAGGTGTATGATCCTACTGCCACCCACTTCTCAGCACGGGGCCTTGGGCACCCTGGCCTCTGACCTCTGACCTCTGACCTGAGCCTCTTGCCCATTAGGCAGCTGGCTTTGGGGTAATTGGTCTGCGAGGTTGACGGCTCTGCAAAACCCATGGAAGCATCATCCACAAAAACGTGTAACCATAGCCCCAGGGAGCTCTGCAGTGCAAAGCCTGTGTAGCTAGCTGTGCCTGGCAGCTCTGGGACTGGGGACCCTGCAGATGAGAAGACTGTGGAAGAGGTCATCCCTTCCAGCCATGTATGACAGACTTCCTCATTTTCCCTCACACCTACACCTACTTGACCTGAGGCACAGGACCCTAGGCAGAAGCAGGTCTAGGTGACAGCTCTCACCACTGTCCTGACGGACCCCAGCCAGCCTGGCCCTTGGTATACCTCCCCGTAACACAAAGCTTTTCTCTCTCCCGGAGCCAGACCCTGCCCTGCCACCTCACCACCCTGGCCCTGCTGCTGCTGCTGCTGCTGCTACAGGCTGTGGTCCAGGTGGACGCCCAGGTGCTGAGAGGCCAGCGGGGGGTGCCCCCTGCAGCCTGTGCCTCCATCTGCTGCCCCTTGTACCCCACAGCCCCTCATAGCCGCTGCCTTCAGTCCCCACAGGTGGGTGTGGGCCTCTCCTTGGCCAGGGACACACAGTTCCCTGTAGGCAGGGAAGGGAGGAGGAGTCACAGTGTCCCTGGTAGCCCTGGGCCACAGCCGCCTCCTCAGCCGTCCCCAGGGCTCAGGGTACCCGGCAGGCTGAGTGTCAGCTTCCCGGAGGCAGGTGGAAAAGGCTGAAGCAGGAGGACCGTGAGTCCCAGGCCAGCCTGGGCTGCATATCGAGACCTTGTCTAAAAGAAGGTCTCTGGGCAATAAGGAGGGTCCTGACTCGTCCAAATCTACTCAGGGGGACTTCAGTCGGCTCAGGAGGGCTCTCATTGTCCCCATGGAACTGTGGACCTGGGCCAGCGACACGGCGAGTGTCCTTGTCTTCCAGGGCAGGCTAAGGTGGTGGAAGGTGGGAGTGACCCCTGGACAAAACTATCCCGACCTGTGCTCCACAGATACCTTCGTCTGCACTTTGGCCCTCAGTCTGTGGCTCCAGATCTTTTTCTGTTTGTTTGTTTGTTTGCTTGGTGGTACCAGGGATGGAACCAAGGACCTTGCACCTGCCAGGCTGGTGCAGTGCCACGGAGCCACATCCCTGGTCCTGTTCATTTTGTTTTGAGACAGGGTCTCACTGTGCAGACCAGGCTGGCCTTGAACTCACTCTGTAGCCCAGCCTGGCCTCGGATTCATGGTGATCCTCCTGCCTCAGCCTGCTGGGTGCGGGGATTACAGGCCTGCGCCACCACTCCCTTTGTGACGTAACATCTTCATCCTGGTCCAGTCCCACCTTTCTCAGCTCCCAAAAAGGCCGCTGGGACCTGGCACTGACACTGGCACAGCCATCAGCTGTGTCTGCTTCGGTGGACCTCTTCTCTGTCCTCTGGAGATCCTTCCAGTCCCATTTCCTGTCCTCAAAAGCCAAGGGAGTTGTTTTTTGTTTGTTGGTTGGTTGTTTTGCTGCGGGGGATCAAACTCAGGACCTCGTCCAAGCCCGGCAGACGCTGTGTCACCGCTGAGCTAAATCCCCGGCCCAGGGGTTGCTTTTTGGGCTGAGGATGGAACGCAGGCAGGTGCTGCCAGTGAGTCACACTCCCGCTCTGGGCGCTCCGTCTGGCCGTGCCCTCCCCAGCTGTTCCCCCAGCGGGCCCAGCCGAGGCCAGGCCTGGCACCGACCACGACATGGGCCGGTGGATTGGGAGTGCCGGGGTGGCTGGAAGGGGGAGCAGACGGCATGCTTTATAATTATACTCAAATCAAAAAATAGAAACAGCATCAAGCGTGCAGAGACCGGCGGCTGGCAGCCGGAGGCACAAGCTGTGCGCCGGAGACCTCGGCCCGGGCTGGACGCCCCCACAGGTGAGTGAGCGCCCCAAGCTGGAGAATGGGTGCTGGCATTTGTGCCTGTGTGTGGGGTGAGGGTGAAGATGGGCTGGCTACCAACCGAATGGGAACGAGACAGGGCAAAGCACAGGAGAGTCAGAAAGACCCGGCCCGAATCCTGGCTCCCCACACCCATTGGCTGTGTGACCTTGGGCAAATGGTTTAACCTCTCTGAGCCTTGGTTTCCTCCTCTGTATAATGGGGATAATGATATTTACCCCCCCTTCATAAGGAGTCAGTGAGAAAATGCAAGCACTTCCTCTGGCACATAGTACGTCCCTCCTTAGTGAGTTGTGAGAGGAAAAGCCAGGCATGGTGGTGCTTGCGTATAATCCTTGCACTTGGGAGGCTGAGGCAGGAAGACTGTGAATTTGAGGCCAGCTTGGGCTACACAGTGAGTTCAAGAACAGCCTGGAAAACTTAGTGAGACCCTGTCTCAAAAAACCAACCAAACCACAAAAAATGTGGTGAATGTAATAATTTTTACTGGAGAAATAAAAACCAAGAGATAAGAGACTAAATGCTACCATTTCATCAGAAAGTTGCTCTCTTCCTATTGGCTAAGGCTTGAAGAGGGAAGAGTAATTTTAGTTGGTAACAATAGAAAGATGTGTCATTCATGAGGCCTCTACCATGACACAACATCCTGGGAGGCGCTTTACATTTGGTATCTCCTGGGATGCTCATAGCCTCTCAGCTATGGGCATAGAAGGCAGGGTTCTGGAAGCTGCATAGGAGTGTGCACTTCCTGAGGGAGTGTGGGAGAAAGGTAAGGACAGTGAGCAACCTATAGGAGAAAGTTGGGGGAAGACAGAGGACAACAGTGTGGGCTTGTAAATAGCATCAGTGCAGGAGCAGGAAAACCAGGCCCACAGAGGGGAGCGAGGAGCAGAGTGAGGGCTGGCGTAAAAAGGGCACGGGCCTGGGCCCTGTCCTGCTGGACTCAGGGCCGAGCTTCACCTGCTGTGGCTGAGGAGGTGCACAGAGCGTCTTCCACAAGGGTGGGGACACCTGAGCTCAGGAGCCGGGGCCTTGGTGGGACCTGTGCAGGAATAGCCCTACCCCAAGGGAGAGCTCCAAGCTGCAGACCTGGGCTGGGTATCCTGGGATGTTGAGGCCAGGGCTGTGCCCCGGAAGCCCCCATCACTGATCTCTCTTGAGCCTGGGGAGCAGCTGGTCTGGCCAGGACGGCGATGGCTCCCTGTACAGCTGGGCTGCATGGCACCCATAGGCCACCAGAGGGCAACCTTGCCCCATGCCAAGCACCAAGGCCTCTGGTCCTGCCTGCAGCTGGGCAGCCCCACCTGGGCACTGCAGACCACGGTGGCTGTGGATTCCCCTGCACTGGGCCTCCCTCACCACAACATGCTACCCTGCCTGCTGCCCTGTATTCTGCTTAGGATAGAGCCCCAAAGTCTTGAGAAGTCAGGCAAGGGCAGGATCTTCAGCCAGAGAGAAAAACTAGCCAGACAGCGTCCTCAAGGGGGCCGTTTCTAAGGGGAGCCAGTCTTCTCCCCTGCTCCGAAGCACCTGGCCACTGCCTCAAGGCCATGAGTCCCAGAGGTTCCCTGGACAGGGCCAGGGTTTGGAGGGCACCACCTCAGGCCACAGGCCCGGTCTGCTCCCAGCCCCACCCCCGAGGGTCCACAACCTGGAATCCTGGCCGCGTCACAGCGTGTGTGTTCTGGGCGGAACCTGCCCTGGCCCTGTTCCGCTCACACCCGAGCCCTGTCCCAGACCATGCCCTAGGTCAGTGGCAGGCCACCCAGCCTGCCGAGAGGTCACAGCGGGGGATGAAGGGCAGAGCCGGGTCCTCACTTCCGCCCTGCCCACAGGCCACCCCCTGGGCCAGCACAGCCAAGCCTGTGGTCTCCTGGGTCCCTTTTGCCATCGCTGGTCCTGGTACTGCTGACCGAAGGGAAAAGATGCTCTTCCCAGTCTGTAGCTTCCCGGGCTGCTGGCTGAGGGGAGTGAGGACGGCCGTCCAGGATAGGCCCTCTTTCCCAGTGCAGCACCAGGCCCAGGTTCTGGTGCCCCTGACAGCCCAGCTCTGCAGAGCCCCACACAGCCTGGGCCAGCTGACGGCAGACACAGCCCAGCCCACCCGGACGAGGCCTGCGGAGTCTCGGGGGTGAGGAGGGACAGTGGGACCCAGCTCCAGAGGAGAGGCCAGAGGGCTGTGAGCACTCCCTGGAGTCTCTGAGGGGGTGACTGAGTGGCTCCAAGGGCACACGGAGGGAGGTGCTGGACAGAGGAGAGTCCCGCCCATCCCAAGGGGACAATGCTATCAAACAGCAGTCGGCTCCTCTGCTCTCACCCTCGAGGGAAAGCTCTGATCTCCAGCTCTTGAAAGCGGGCGGGCGGAGATGGGGCTGAGGGCCAGACAGGAAGCGGCAGGGGTGGGGCTGAAATTGAGCTGCCTGAGTTGGGGGCCTTCCTGGGTGCCCTCTGAAAGCCGCAGCCACCTGGGGCTCCCATCCCTACAAATCCCCAGCCCCTTAAGGCTGCACTGGCTTTGCCATAAATGGGGAACCCCAGACCCTAAAACTTCGAACATTTGTGGCTTTAGGAGAGAGGTGTGTCCAGTGTAACCACAGTGACAAGTCTGTTCTTGGGGAAAAGCCCAGCTGATCTAGTTAACAACCTTACACAGAGTAACTGGGGCTACTGGCACACCTGTAATCCCAGCACTTGGGAGGTTGAGGCAGGAGGGTCTCTTCGAGTTTGAGGCCAACCTGGACCACACAGAAAGACTTGTCTCAACAGAAAACAAAGCTAGGGCCTCACCCACAGCACACATAGCCCCTGGGACCTGCACCCTGGCCTCCCTGTCAGCTGGGGGAGCCCATGCCTAGCCACTGCACTGTCTGCTTTTTTCCAGGATGGACTCGCTGCAGAAGCAGGACCTCCGGAGGCCCAAGATCCACGGGCCCAGGCGGGCTTCCCCCTACCAGCCGCCCACGCTCGCCTCGCTGCAGCGTTTGCTGTGGGTCCGCAGGGCCACCACCTTGAACCACGTCAATGAGGTCTGGCCCAACCTCTTCCTGGGAGATGCGTGAGTGAGACCCAGGGGGCCTGGGGCTGGCAGAAGGGTGTGGCATCCCCATGCAGAGTGGCACCCTCTGTCTCCACCACGTGCCCCATTTTTCTTCCCGCTTATATTATGCTGGGTTTTTTTTTTGTTTTGTTTTGGGATTTTTGTTTGTTCGTTTTTTGTTTTTCTGTTTTTTGGTTTTGGTTTTGTTTTTTTTTGTTTTTTTTGTTTTTTTTGGTACCAGGGATTGAACTCTGGACCTTGCGCTTGTGAGGCAGGCAACGGAACTACTGAGCTAAATCCCCAGCCCTGTTGGTTCATTTTAAGACAAGGTCTAACTATGTATTCCAAGCTGGCCTTGAACTTATTATGTAGCCAAGGCTGGCCTTGAACTCCCAGAGATACTCCTGCCTCAGCCTCCCAAGTGCTGGGATCACACTATTATGTACAGGCTCACACTATTATGATTTTTTAACCTGTGGAAACAGAACACATATAAGAAAAGTGCACAGAGCACGGATGGACAGTTTCATTTCCTAGACTAAAAGATAGTACATTACTTGTATTCCAGAAACCCCTACTGAATTCTTCTTATAACTTTTCCTTTTTCCCAGTGGATAACTACTCCTTAAATGTCTATATCATTATTTGCTTGTTTTTCTTTATAGCTTTACCACCTACGTATCTCTTTTGCCTTTTAAAGTTACATGACTGGAGGGACAGGAATTAGCTCAGTGGTTCTGCCACCTGCTTCACAAGGTCATGAGTTTGAACCCTAGTACCACGCACACACACACACATGTTATATGAATGGAATCACATTGTGTGTGTTTGGTGCTAGCACTATTTGCTTGAAATTATGAGACACCTGTGTTATTACTGACTGCTGCAGTTCATTCGTTTTACTGCTGTATAATATTTCACCACGTGACCATACCACAATTTAGGTCACCACGTGACCATACCCTATTATATATGGAGATTTGAGACATTTCCAATTTTTGGCTATTATGAACAGTAATCCTAGGAATATTTAAGTAGTTGCATCCTGGGAAAGCACATGCATTTCAGTAGGTTGAAAAGAGAATAGAATTGTGAGTTATTTTTCTTAAATTTTAGAAAATATGGACCATATATATAGAATTTAGAAATTATCCTAAATACAAGTATTTAAACATAGATTAATAACTTAACAATATGAATATATTATTCTTCCCACACAGATAAAATTTTTGTATGCTATTGTAAGATGCATATACCCATAATGCTTCTATTTGTTATTTTATTTTTTTATTTTGGTACTGGGGATCGAACTCAGGTCCTTGAGCTTGTGAGTCAGGTGGCAGAACCACTGAGCTAAATCCCCAGCCCTATGACATTTCAGTGGTCAAACATATTTCATCATTTAGATGCCCTGCAGCTCCCCGCCGTGGGGGGATAAGTTCTCAGACCTCAGCGGATGCCTGAAACCGAAGACAGTACTGAAGCCTAGATACACTGTGCTGTCCTATTCATATGTACAATTTTATTGTTTTTGAGACAGGGTCTCACTGGATAGTTCAGTTTGCCCTTGAGCTTACTATGTAGCCCAGGGTGGCCTCAAACTCCTGGTGATTCTCCTGCCTCAGCCTCCTGAGTTAGGCATGATAGGGGTGCATCAGCACACCTGGCTGAAAGGGGGTCTTCAGCTCCAACTGGAGGAACCCCTTCACCAGGGCGGCTTGCAGGGAAGGGCAGGTCCATTCCAGTCAGAGCTGCACAGTGAGGTCACCTCACCCTCGTACCCCTCACCCCCAGGTACGCTGCCCGGGACAAGAGCCGCCTGATGCAGATGGGCATCACCCACGTGGTGAATGCTGCTGCAGGCAGGTACCAGGTGGACACGGGTGCCAAGTTCTACCAAGGGCTGCCCCTGGAGTACTACGGCATCGAGGCAGATGACAACCCCTACTTCGACATCAGCATCTACTTCCTGCCTGTGGCTCGATACATCCGGGTCGCCCTCAGCACTCCCCGAGGTCAGCTGCTGAGGTGGCACTGGGCAGGCTGGGGACAGGTTGGATCTGGGGCTCCCCTGTTCCCCAGTAGCACTGAGGAGGTGAGGAGTCCAGGCTACCAGTCCCATTAGCAACCTTCTCACCCTGGAAACCAACCTCAACAACCTCAAGCTTAACTCAGACCCACCACTGCTGGGCATGGTGGCACAGGGGAGGCTGAGGCAGGAGAATCCCCGTGAGCTCAAGGCCAGCTGGGGCTCCATAGCGAGACCCTGTCCCAAAAAACCAAACACAGAAAAAGATGTACCGTGGCCATCAGCGTACCTGTATTCCCCAGTAAGAGGCCAGGCATTGGGCCCCAGCAGCCCCTCTAAGATGAGGTCTTGGCACAGACTACAGAGACAGGGAGAGAGTGGACCTGGGGGAGCTCAGTGGGCGGGCATCCTCTATAATCTGATGAAGTCTAGGGGTCCCTGGGAGTTCAGTAACCCTCCTTCCCCACGTTACAAGGGGTGTCAGAGGAAGCAGCCTAGCCCAGGAGGAAGGAATACTAGCTGCTGCCCTTGGCCCTGCCACTAACTTGCGGCGTGACCCGGAGGGGCTCTCCTTCCCTTTCTGGGCCTCAGTGAGGATAGTCAGTCTCGCAGGACCGGGAAGCGGCTCCTCTTCCGGAAGGGCCGCGGCTGAGTGGGGCGGCTGTCCCGCAGGCCGCGTGCTGGTCCACTGTGCCATGGGGGTTAGCCGCTCCGCCACGCTGGTCCTGGCTTTCCTCATGATCTGCGAGAACATGACGCTGGTGGAGGCCATCCAGACGGTGCAGGCCCACCGCGACATCTGTCCCAACTCGGGCTTCCTGCGGCAGCTCCAGGTGCTGGACAACCGGCTGGGGCGGGAGACCGGGCGGCTGTGACCCGGAGCCCCGGCCTGCACCCGGCTCCGGCAAGGCCCGCCCGGCCAGCGCTTCCCCGGGGGACAGCAGCCTCCGCCGTTCCCAGAGACCCTGAGCGGTCCCGGCAGGGCTCAGCCGAGGCAGGGGTGTCAGAGCGGGAGTCGGTGGGTTCCCCTGACCCGACGAGAGATTCTTTATGCAAAAGAGAATTCTGTCTGTCTCTATAATAAAAAGGTTCCTCATAAGGACGGCTGGCGGCCTGGTGGCTTGGAGGGATGGCGACTCGCGTTCACGGACAGGCCTCTGTGAGGCTGCCCTCCTCGATGCTGCGAGGAACCGGGTGGTCCGAGAGAAGAGTTGGTACAGAGCTGAAGGTTCGATGACTTCCTGTCTGCCCTCCTCGCCCACGGCTCCAGTTATGATAAAGGACAGAGTTCCATGTGTCACAGCCTCTCTGTGCCCACCCTACTCAGTGTCAGCTACCAAACCGGAGTTGGCTCAGGGGAGGGCTCAATGGTAAACACACACACACTGCACAAACTGCATCTTTTGAAATCAGTCTTTTCTTTTTTTGGGTTGCTATTTTTTTTTCTTTTTTTTTGGTACTGGGAATCGAACTTGGGACCTTGTGCTTTTGAGGCAGGCAGCAAGCAGCACCACGGAGCTAAACCCCGGCCTCACTCTTTTCCTTTTTTTTTTTTTTTTTTTTTTTTTGTGACAGGGTCTCAGTTTGTAGCCCAGGTTGGCCTTGAATTCACAGCAATCCTCCTGCCTCAGCCTCCGGAGTGCTGAGATTACAGGCGTGCGCCACCATGCCTGGCTCAATCTTTTCCATTACACTCAACTTTTCAAAGAACTGTTTAACACTCCAGTCACCTAAGCCTTAGAGGCATTAAACAAGGGGATGACAAGCTTGAGCTGGAGACACAGCAGGAGTCCTAGGGGAAGGATGGGTGATAGAACTGAGCTTCTGGGTTCTCCTCGCCTGAAAAGGCAAAACAGCACAGAAAGCCACTCACCTTCCTCACGCATAAGCCACACCTCCCAAAGGGCCCATGAGGACTAATGGCTGCCTTCCCTCTTCCTCTCTGAAATGTCAGCTTTCTCAGGGCCTGTCTTGTGCCCCTGGCTGCACTCCGGGTCCCCACTGTCCAGGTTCCCTCTGCTCTCACAGCCTCAGCAGCTGTCTCCAGGCTGAAGATCCCACACAGATCTGGCCCGATTATTTCCCGAGCTCGAAGCTTCTGCCTCCAACCGGCCACCTCCACCTGAGCTTCAAACTAAGGGGTTTTCACCACCTGTGGCCACACCCCTCTTGCTAGTTCCCTATTTCAGTGACAGGTTACCCGGATGTGCTTGCATACCTTGATTTTCCTCTTGACCTCTCACCCAGATTCTTGCAAGACCCTGCTAGTGGCCTGTCTGGCTCCAGCCCCTCCTAGGCAGACATCGTACTAAAACGATCAGTCACCCTCCATCTTCAAACCCTTGAAGTACAGACACCTTGACAAAACCTCCTCCTATCTCTAGCCATGCTGGTTTGGTTGGTTGTTGGTGTTGGAGATGGTGTCTTGCTATACTGCCCAAGCTGATCTGGAACTCCTGGGGCTCAAGAGATCCTCTTCCTCCCAGCAGCGTGGACTGTGGGTGTATGCTACCACTTCCGGCGTCTCTAGCCATATTGTAATTCTGACCTGGCCCCTACTATGCAATTGAGAAACTATAAACCGTTTTTCAGAATGTGCGCTTCTACCCTCCTCTTCTCCTCCTCCCCTTTTCAGAACTGGACATTGAATCCAGGGCCTTTGAACTGAGCTAACTCCCCAGCCCCCACCTCCTTATTTATTTATTTATTTTTGAGACAGGGTCTCACTATGTAGTTGAGACTTTGGACTGACCTGGAACTCACTATGTAGCCCAGGCTGGACTCCAACTCAGCAATCCTCCTGCCTCAGCCTCCTGAGTGCTGGGATTACAGGAGTGCGCCACCACACCCTGCCCCCACCAGCCCTTTTTTATTTTAGACAGGGTCTCGCTAAGTTGCTAAGTTGCCCAGGCTGGATGGAACTTGTGATCCTCTTGCCTCAGCCTCCCAGAAAGCTGAGATTACAGGTGTGTGGCACCACTTACCTCTGTGCCACATAGGCTTCAGGCTGCAGCACCTGAGCATACCGCGCTCCCCTTTTCCCTGGGTGAACTCTGGCTTCTCCCCAGGCTACACTGGAGACATCACTTCTGGGAGTCCCCGCCAGCACCCCACGCTGGCCCGCACCTGTTCACACTCCCTGCAACACCACTCCTCTCCTCCGGGGTCTTGGGCCTGCTCTGCCCGCTCCCTGGGGCTTACAGAGCCTTTTCCTTCCTTGCCATCTGCTCTGCTCCTGGAGAGCAAGTGCTGGTCCTCTGCGCACATTTGGAACAGGTGTCCCCTTTTCCACACTCGTTCCCAAGCCCCGCTCTGGGAGCTGAAACCCACTGGCAGGTTTTAGTTCTGTCACCCCTTTTGCAATTCAGTCTGCACACAGTACACGCACACTGCCTGTCTGGAAGGGCCTCGCATCCCCATTTCACAGACAGACAAGCTGATGCTCAGAAGAAAGGAGACAGGGCTGGAAAGCTCCCTCCTGGGTCCAGGATCTCCAGGCTCTGGCTCAAGGGCTCTTCTGGCTGCCTCTCTGCAGTACTTGGTCCCCATCCCGCCGGCTGCCCTGGCCCTCGCTGGGGATGGCGGAAGTCGCCAGGGCTGTGGGAGCCCCACTTAGCCTGCCTGGGCCCCACTCCACTCTAGGGTAGAAAGTGCTCTCCCTTCAGCTTTGGGGTGGTGGGGCCCAAATCCGAACAGCAGATGGAGCTCATTCCAGCTCAGTGGACCCTCTCCGCCTTACAGCTCGGTCTTGCTTGTGCATGGTCAGCAGGACCCAAAACAGTGGTTCCGGAAGCTAGTTGCCATCCTGGTCCGTGCATGGGCCGCCTGTCCCTGCCAGGGCCGGGCCATCCAGAGGCTGGGACAGAGCTGAGCCCACCTTCTTGGGGCTCCAAGGATTTGGCTCAGAATTTGGGGCTGCAGGGGGGGCAGGGAAGAAAGGCAGGTGGAGACAAGTGACCAAAAAGCACATTCAGGAACAGAGGCCAGCTCCACCCTGGTACTGCCTGGGTGTACCTCCCACCTGCCACACTCATGGACACATCTGTGACAGTGACTGCTCTCTTCTCTACGGAAACCTCATGAAAGAAGCCATATGGTGGAAAAAGCATGACTTTGTGTGTGGGGTTGTTTGTTTTGAGACAAGATATTGCTGTGTAGTCCAGGCTGACTTTGAACTCACTATGTAGCCCAAGTTTGTCTTGAAATCACAGAAATTCTCCTGCCTCTGCCTCCTGAGTACTGGGGACTGCAGGTGTGCACTACCGTGCCTGGCTTGTACAAAGCATGACTTTGGAGTCAGACTCCTTAGGCTCAAATCCTACCTGTGCCCCCTAGCACACCTCAGCTAATCTCTCCAGACCTCAGCTGTCCTGTCTATAACACGGGATTAATAACAATCACCACAGAGGTTTGCTGCAAGGGTTGAGTGGGGGATTGGAAGGTGCTTGGCCCAATCGTTAAGCTCTAACGGGTAGGGATGTGTCTTGGAGTACAGCGTGTGCTTAGCAAGCTGGAGGCCCTGGGGTCAATGGGGCGGTGACAGCTGTGGTTATAATCATAGCACAAAGGCCCTGGAGTCACCTGCTGTCCTGAATCCCAGGCTTGGACTCATTGTTGGCTGTCCTTTCCCGTGTGGTGGAGGAATGGATGGGAAACTAGACAAGCAGCTAAGATTAGAATAAAGTTTGTGCTTTAGTTTACAGTGTCACACCAGTGCTAATTTCTTTCATAAATATAGCATAGTTATGCAGGAAGCTAAGATCAGGGAAAACTGGGTGAAAAGAACATAAAAAATGTCCCTGCTATCTTGATAATCTTCTATAAACCTAAAGTTATCTTAAAATTTAAAAATTAGTTGACAATTACCAATGGCTTTACAAATGCCAACCACCATGCCAAATGCTTTATGTACAATTTTTCTTTCCCTTTCCTTTCTTTTTAAAAATTTCTTTCTTTTGAAAAAACATGAACCAGACAGAGCAGAATGGTAAGATTTAACTGCACTGACTTGTAGGAATACAGATGTTCGGTGTATCTTTTTTATATTCTTAAAATATTCCATAATTTAAGAATTAAACAGACTTCTAAATTAGAAGCATCCTGCTCTCTGCATTTAGCTTCTGAAAACCCATCAAGCCAAATGGATTTTAGAAAGTATTCAGGAATAAAACTGGACAATTCTTACCGGATTGGGTCTAAAACACTGCAGATCCTCATGCTGTCTTTTTAAAACTTGCAAGAGGCTTCTTTCTGGATAATCTTATGCTCCGAAAGGAGGTAGAGGTGGCTGTTAGTGACACTTAGAGGGGGGAGAACTGTGGTGAAGGAGTAGCTATGCTGTCACTCGGTCACAAAACCTGGGGCGGGTCCTGTCTCCAGCTAGCTCAGGGACACTGACTGCTAGGCCACCCTGCCTTTGGAGTGGCTGCTGACTAGGAGGGCTGCCCATCAGAGGAGAACACACACAAGTATGATGAGCTACAGGCGGTTTAATTTTCCTGGGATCGGAGCACACTTTAAAAGGAGTGCTGAGTGGGGAGTGGCGTCGCGCGCCTGTAATCCCAGCACTTGGGAGGCTGAGGCAGGAGGATTGCCAGGAGTTGAGGCCAGCCTGGGCTACACAGTGAGTTCAAGGCCAGTTTGACCTACATAGCAAAACCCTGTCTCAAAAACCTAAACCAAGTGGGGATTTAGCTCAGTGGTGCCACTGCTTGCCTTGCAAGCACAGGGCCCCGAATTAAAAAAAAAAAAAAAAAAAAAAAAAATCAGGAGGAAAAAAACTACACTAAAAAAAAAAAGAAGAAGAAAAAGAGGAGTGCTGGGACAGGCACCGTGTCACATGGGTGAGGAGCTTGCAGGCAGACTGCTAAGGGCAAAATGACTTGGGGGCGGAGCAAAGGGGATGTGGCTTGTGTTACAGCAGGGCACCTAGACAGAAATAAGCACGCCATGCAGCCCCTGCAGGCGCCCATCACACCAGCCCTTGTTTCTGAGATTCCTTCATTACTCCAATCTGCTGTCCTAGCCATGGATGGCGCGTCGGGATGGGCACTGTGTTAGTCAGCTCCCCAGCCCCCTGACAGACACCCGAGACAGTCAGCTTGGCAAGAGGAGAGGTTCGTCCTGACTCCCGGCAGATAAACCAGAGCGTGGTGGGCTGGGCCCTGACCATAGGTGTCCAGCGAGGATGCCTCACGGCAGTGGCCAGGAGAGGGCGGCACAGCAGAACCGCGGGACCGGCCAGGATCCCACTTCCCTTTGAGGGCGCCCCTGCCCTGCCCTGCTCCCGCCCAGCAGGCTTCCTTCCAACAGCGCCACCCTGGGGACAAAGCCGTCAGCCAAAGGCCAGGAAGGGAGATTTCATTCGGGGTCGCTGCAGGATTCAGCCCTGGGGAAGAGACTGGGCTCAACTTTGAATACCACCCGGCAGTGGGAATTTACATCTAAGAGGAGACCCCGGGGGACCCGGCTACGATGACCTAACAGAACTCCTGCCCAATACAGGTCAGAGTCACCAGACATCAGTGGGAGATGAGGCAGGAAAAGGAGGCTGATCAGACGTGGAGAGCGATCAGATATGGTGGGGAGGGCGTTTGTCAGACTGATACAGCGAGGTCCTTGCTAAAGCTGGGTTTTAGCTGGGTGTGGTGCACTCCTGTAATCCCAGCACTTGGAGGCTGAGGCAGG